GGTGAATCCTGCTGTCTGGGTTTCCTTCTCGCTCTGGTGGCTGTCCTGGAGTACCTGGAACTACAGGCATGCACCAGCACACCTGGGTACTTATTGTATTTTTAGTAGAGACAGGGTTTCACCATGTTGGCTGGGCTGGTCTGGAACTTCTGGCCCCAAGTGATCCACCCACCTCGGCCTCCCAAAGTGCTGGGATTACAGGCGTGAGCCACCGTTCCCAGCTGCAGCCAAGATTTCTAAAATTGCAGGGCATCCTTCCTTTGCCTCTGGTTGTGACTGTGGATAGTGCAGCTTCTGCTATGTCTCCGGCTACAGACCCATTACAAATGCGCACTTACCTTCTGCGCTGAACTGGTGCTGTGGACCTGCAGTGATTTCCGTTCTTTCCTGCTGCTGCATAGCCCTCTTTTCCTCTATTCCTGCCCTTTTCTACAGATACCTTTCTGAGCTCTTGTTTAGGAATAAATACATTTTATTTATTGTCAAATAAACACAGCCAGGACAGATTGAGTGCTCTAAGATTCTTCCTTTAAGAAGTATTTTGTAGATACTGCAGGACTTGTTAATGTCCTGAATATAGAGAGTAGGTTTCAACTATAGGACCTATCCTCCATCATTTGGGTGACTCATTCTATTTTTGCTTGCACAACGACCCTTTTCATCAACCTCATTTTATATAAGAAATTAAACTGTTTTGTGGGCCCCTACATGTACTGTGGGTTCCAGTCACCTCAACGACTGATCATAATGGATGAGTGCACCCATTATACCTCATGTTCCCAGAGGATGGGTAAGAAAACAGCTAGAAAATATTTGACCAATTCACTTTCGAAGAGATGGGAAGGGATGACAATCTGACAGCCTCTTTCTGATTTTAACTAAGATGTCTCCTCCTCAGGCTGGCTCCTGCTGGAGCTAAACTGCTGGAATCTGAAATTTTGCTTTGCTTACCTGTTGGTAGCTGGCTAATCTCACTTGATCACTCTCCGTTTGTGTTAGTTTTCTAATCTGTAAAATGGGAATGACAATGATAACTATCTCATGGGGTTTTTGAATAGATGGAGATGATTAAACATGCTGCCTCGTATTTCCTGCTTCTGCCAGTTTGTATGTGTTTATTCACAAGGGTCCTTGAAAGAAGAAAGATGATGGTTATTCTCTGGCAGTGGGCAACAGGGGCAGGATGTTTTATTGTGAAAATAATGGTTCTATAAGTCTTTTTGTACCTATATTTACTTCACTCAGTAACCTTTGTTGGCTGCTGTGTTTACAGGGCCCTGTGCCAGGAAATGTGAGGATTGCCACAATGTCTGATCAATGCCTGACCATTGTGCTGTAGGTTCTCAAAGTGTAGCAGGATTGATAAGGAATCAGAGAGATCGATGGGGTTCAGGAGGATATTTATTATTTAGGTGCACCAGCCCAGTCAGATTAACATCCAAAGGACTGAGCCCTGAACAAACAGTTAAGTTACTTTTTAAGCATATCGTGGGGCAGGGGGAAGCATATTACAGAAGTGAGAAACAGAGACAGTTATTCAATTAATTGAGACATGCATTACATCATTTCTTAATTTTCAAGGAAAAACAGGTTTTACAACTTGAGTTTATCTGTCTAGTGACCTTGCAGCTGCACAGCTCGGGAAACAGGGTCTTTACAATGTCTGGGAAAGGAGAGAGAAGGCTCACTGGCCACAGAAAAACAGGCAGTTAATTTTTAAAGGACTCCAGTTCTTTCTTTTTCTCAGGGGGAATTGGGTTTTCTTACATACAACCGAGTTTCTGCTTACACATCCTTTAATTTCTTTTAATTCCTGTTCCATTCCCCCCTTTGGTGCTTTTTATAACAAAGGTGTTAATAAAAAGCACCACTTTTGCCACCTCTTCACAGAGCTGAGCTTCTTCTACTGGCAGCGGCTGATATTTGGTTAATGCCATCAACTGCATGGTAGTGTGTCGGGTTACTACTGCCTCTATAGTTGACTGAATACGCCTAATAAACGGAGGTAAAAGGCAAGGGAGGATGAGGCAGATGCCAAGAATAAGCAAGAACCTACCAATGAGGGTTTTGAATCTTCCAAAGGTTGAGAACCATTTTCCAAACAAGGAATCCGGGGACCACCCAGACCAAGTCTGAACTAGAACATGGGCCAGCTCGCACATTCTAGCTGTGATTTCCATAATAGCTCGGCCATTATCAACGATTTCTAGGCAACAGTTGGTTTAATTAAATTTTCTACCTACTACTCCTTCTGAGGCTAAGAGGTAATCTAAAGCTAATCTATTTTGATATACAGCATTTCTTATTTGTGTTGCTTGTATTGCCAATAAACCTAGTGCCCTTGATGTTTCATTGGTTATAATTTCAAGGACTACCTACAACTTTATGATGCAGTTGAGCATACAGATTGGGGTGCAATATCCCCATGACCCGTCTTGCGCCCAGGTAGCTGGCTTATAATATTCAATGATTCTTTCAGGAGACAATTATCTTTTCAGTCTCCTATGTCCACATCTTTTTGACATTTGTGTCTATTTTTGTGATTATGCTTCTTCTAGTTCTTTTATTTTCATCATAAACTGGATATCCTAAGAGTTCCCTTTGCTTTAGAGGAATTAGAAAGGACGGCTTGATTGTTCCTAACATACATGCCCCTGTCCATTTAGCTGGCAGTTGCTGATATGCCCATGCTCCACAGATCCATTATAGGACAGAGGGTACCTTCCAAGCATTTGGAGCCTCTACCTGATACCAAGTGTGGCTTAGAGTAGAGAATCGAGAGAAAGGGTTTGGACCTGGTAAGTAGGAGTCATTCTGGGCGTTTCTCCATAGAGTTTTGTTTTTAGTCTCATCATAATGCTGTTGCCCTAGGCAGGTTGTTTCTCCTACTGCCTCTGTGAAAGCCTTTCCCCATCGGGTGATACAGTACTTTCCAATTATGGGGGTTTTTAACAACCAAACACTGACTGAGGCTGTTGGTTCACTGGCAGGGTTAGGTGAAGTGAAGTGATCTTTTGGCATTAATTCCTTTTCCTCCCATGGCCACTGGTCCCCCATATTAGTTCCTCCACATCCATAGCATGAGGAAATTCCTAAGCTGCCAGTTATGTTTTCAGCTAGTTGAGCAAAAACGTTTTTGGGTGATGGGGAAGCTCAGGCACTGGCTGTTCAAAATGCTTATAGAATGACTTATGGACCCAGAATTGCAGGATTGGACACTTTTGAGTCCTTCTAGTCTTTCTGACAATCAGTAGTGGAACTCCAAGGCCTGCTTCTTGTCTATCAACTCATAATAGTGCTGTCTGTCCTGTAGGCCAAAAAGGTAGCTCTGGCTTTAAGATAGTAAAATTTAAAGGATTGCATGTCCTTGTCTTACAATTTGGTTTGGTTGACATACTATTTAGCAGAGCAGTCCTTCCTGAATATAAGTGTTGGAGCTGTGTTAGCATAGACCACTGAATGTTACAGTCCGGGCATCCGATTTGTGGTTCTCCATACAGATGTTTAGGACTGTTGTTGTTAAGCCTCTCTTGTGTTAAACCATAGCAGACTGCTTCTTTTTTTTTTTTTTTTTTTTAAGATTATGAACATATGTTGCATGGCAGGCATCAAAGTACAAGGAAATGTGCCTTTTATAGGAGGGAGGGGCTTCTTTTGTTCAAGCTATAAGCTCTCCTTCTTTTTCTCCCTCTGATTTAATATGTACCTCAAATCAGAATTCATAAAGTAAGAGTTTGGGGTAATAACATACATATAGCTGATTATTTCCTGGGTCACAGACTGAATAGGTGGTCTGGTTGTATGCGCAGGTTCCTAACTTGGTTCCTGTACATTCATAGTAGGTTTGGTACAGTAGAGTTTTAACTATGGTATTTCTTACCCAGGTAGGGTATACACAGTGTGGGCATCTTTCTAGAGACTTCTCCTTTTTTAGTATAGGCAAAAATGGTAAGAACATTAGCGTATGTAATAGAAACATGCTTATACTACACATGGGCATGGCAAACCTTCCTCTGGGCATAGACATTTGCAGCATTTGCAGTAATAACATAACAGAACAATCAGTATTGACAGAATTATAGCTAGGCTTATAAATTGTATCCACATTTACTTATCCGGAGATGGTCCTCTTAGCTTCAGCTGTGCATAGACTAGTCAGCTTCTGGGATGTGACTAGAGCAGAGCTTGCAGGATCCTCAAGCTTCAGCCATGTGTAGACTGACCAGCCTCCGGTGTGGTCAGAGCAGGGCAGTTGTCCTTCTTACCGGTAGTTGGGTGTTACCATAGGACTGTTCGGGTGGGGCGATCTGGGTCTTGTTGGCTAGTCCACTGGTCGTCTTCGGGAGTCACTGCTGCCGCTGGTTTTAGCTGGCTATGGTGAATCCAAGGTGTGACACCTGCAACTTTAACAGCAGTGGGAGTAGACATGATCACAACATGGGGCCCATCCCGTAAGGGCCCCAGGGTTGTTGGATTCCACCTTTTTTTTTTTTTGAGACGGAGTCTCGCTCTGTCGCCTCGGCTGGAGTGCAGTGGCGCAATCTCAGCTCACTGCAAGCTCTGCCTCCCAGGTTCACGCCATTCTCCTACCTCAGCCTCCCAAGTAGCTGGGACTATAGGTACCCACCACCATGCCTGGCTAATTTTTTGTTTTCGTATTTTTAGTAGAGAAGGGGTTTCACCATGTTAGCCAGGATGGTCTCGATCTCCTGACCTCATGATCCACCCGCCTCGGCCTCCCAGAATGCTGGGATTGCAGGCGTGAGCCACCACGTCCAGCCTGGATACCACCTTTTAACCCAGACAGAATCCCCCGGTTTATGTGGATGCACTGGGTCTGTTAGACTTACAGGTATCCTTTCCCTTACCCAGCCTTGCACCTCCTGCATTATTACCCCTTACGCATGCATCTGTCTTCTAAGGGTTAGCTCTCCTAACTCCTTTAAATCCCCTCTAATTTGATTAATTATTGGGGGTGGCCTTCTGAAAAATATTTCATAGGGCTAATGCCCAATTTGTTTTGTAGGTGTACACCTGACCTGGAGGAGGACCATGGGCAAGACCTTATCCCATTGTAAGTGAGTTTCCTGGCAAAAGTTTTTTAGTAGCTGTTTGAGTGTCTGGTTCATCCGTTCCACCTTCCCTGAACTCTCTGGTTGGTAGGCTGTGTGCAGTTTTCATCTGATCTTTAAAAGCTGAGTGAGCTGTTGTGCTACTTCTGCCACAAATACAGGACCATTGTCTGATCCTAGGGTTAAAGGCAATTCAAACCTTGGTATGATGCCTTTTAGTAGCACCTTTGTCACCTCTCGTGCCTTTTCAGTCCTGGTGGGCAAGGCCTCAACCCACCCCAAGAAGGTGCAAAGAAACACTAGCATATACCAGTAACCTCCTGCTCAAGGCAAATCGGTAAAGTCTAGAAGCAGGTTCTCAAAAGGCACAGCTCCCATTTCCTGAATTCCTGGGGGTCGAGTAGGTCCTTGTTTTGGCTTATTCCAGGCACAGGATAGACATTGTTCGCAAACAGCATGGGTGATGGCAGAGAGCCGTGGCACGTAGAAGTGTTCACCTATCAAAGTCTCTAGGGCCGTCTTCCATGTGTGTTCCTTGATGGATCTGCTTCACAAATCTTGGGGCTATTGTCTCTGGGACGGCTAACCTCCCATCAGAGAACAGTCACCATCCACCTTTAATGTATTTCCCTGTTTCCAGAACAAACCAAGCCTTTTCACTTGAAGAGTTAATGGGGTACCTCCAGCAAAGGGGGCTCTATAAGGAGAGGCATTGTTAGAGTTCTTTCTTCAGGTAAAGCCGTGCTCATTGCTGCCCGCCGAGCCTCTCGGTCTGCCTTTCTGTTGCCCTGTGCCTCATAGCTTTTCCCAATTTGGTGTTCTTTGCAATGAATGACAGCCATCTTCTCTGAAGCCCATATGGCTTCTAATAATTGCAAAATTTCCTCTCTGTTTTTTGTTTCTTTTCCTTCGGTAGTCAAAAGTCCTCTCTCTCTGTATATCGCCCCATGGGTATGCAGAGTTGCAAAAGCATATTTAGAGTCAGTCTATATGTTTACTTTCTTCCCCTTGGCCAATAACAGTGCTCTGGTTAATGCTATTAATTCAGCCTTCTGAGTGGAGGTCCAAGAAGGTAAGGCTTGAGCCTCGACCACCGAGTGTTGGGTCACTACTGCATACCCTGCATATTGCACCCCATGTGTTATGAAACCGCTGCCATCAGTGAAGTATTTAACATCTGGGCTCTCCAAGGGAGTATCTCTGAGGTCTTCCTGGCTCAAGAACACTTCATCAACAATCTTTATGCAACAGTGGGAAAAGTCCTGCCAGCAGTGATGCAACCCACCATCCTTCCAATCAGGCTCCTCCAGAGGCAGCAGGGTAGCTGGGTTCAAGGTATTTACATTCTCTAGTGTTATCTGGGGATTTTCACATAGAAGCCCTTGATACTTAAGCATTCTAGAGTTGGACAGCCAACCATGTCCTCTTTGCTCCATTAAGGTGACTACAGCGTGTGTCACCCGAACTATTAACTTCTGACCTAAGCCTAGCTCGTTGGCATCTTCTATAAGGATTGCAGTAGCTGCCAATGCCCTGAGGCAGCTGGGCCAACCTAAAGCCACCAAGTCCAGTCTTTTGGATAAGTATGCTACCAGCTGATGCCAAGAGCCCAACAACTGAGTTAAGACTCTGACTGCCATTCCCTTTCATTCATCCACATACAGAAAGAAGGGCTTTTTTACATCTGGCAACCCTAGTGCCAGGGCCTGGATGAGAGCTCCCTTTATATCCTTGAAGGCCTTTTCCTGTTCCTTTTCCCATAGGAGGAGCTCTCTTTCCTTTCCTTTTATAGCCTCATACAAGGGCCTTGCTATAAATCTGGAACCCAGATTTGGCAGAATCCCGCCATGCCTAGAAATTCCCTGACCTGCTGCCTTGTAACTGGGGTGGTCAGTGCACACACAGCCTCCTTGCGTGCACTTCCAAGCCTGTGCTGGCCTTGGGATATCATGAATCCTAGACATCCAACCTCCTGAAAACAGACTTTTGCCTTGTCGTTGGACACTTTATAACCAGCTTCACACAGCAGGTGAAGAAGCCTCTCTGTTCCGTGAAGTGATTCCTCCCTCATGGGGGCAGAAAATAGCAAATCATCAATGTGTTGTAATAGCCCACAGTTGTCACTAGGTGGCGCAAAAGCCTCAAGATGGGTAGCCAAAGCCTCCTTGAAGATAGTGGGAGAATTCTTAAACCCCTGCGGCAGCCTTGTCCAGGTATACTGCGATTGCCCCCACCGGAGGGCAAATGTAGGCTGACTTTAGGGAGCAAGCCTTAAGCAAAAGAAAGTGCCCTTTAAGTCCAGACACGTGAATCACGTGGCCTCAGCAGGAATCTGTCGCAACCTTGTGTATGGGTTGGGTACTATGGCATGGATAGTGACAGTGGCCTTGTTTACCGCCCGGAGTTTCTGCACTGGCCTTTATTCACCATTTGGTTTGCGCACAGGCAGCAGAGGAGTAGTCCAGGAGGACTTGCATTTCACTATAACCCCATGTTCATAGAGCCGATTGAGATGTTTTGTTATGCCTTCAATTGCTTCTCTGGGTAGTGGGTACTGACGGACTCGTACCAAGGCAGCATGAGGGTTAAGCTCTACTACCACTGGGGATCTGTTTGCAGCAAGTCCAGGGGTGTTGTCCTTAGCCTATACACCTGATACCTTGAAAAGCATTCCCCACATATTGTGTAGGTCCGGCTCTGGCAGCCGCCTGGTATACAGTGCATAGAGCCGCCATTCCTCAGTTCTTGGGACAAAGGCAATGCCATTGCCTTTGGCTTCCCTATCTCCAAGGTCATACTCCTTTTAGGTGTAAAGGAAATTTGTGCCTGCAGTTTCTGGAGTAAGTCTCTCCCCATCAAGGGCACTGGACAATTTGGCATATATGAAAACACATGCTGCACTTCTTGTCCCCCAATAACGCATCTCCTGGATTTGGACAGGTCTCTTTTCTTTGGCCCCAGTAGCACCTACGATAGTAGCACAGTTCTTTGTGGGGGGCTAATTGGGTGAGTTACTACAGAGAAATCAGCAGCAGTATCGACCAAAAAAATCCACTAATTGGCCCCCTACTTCCATAGAGACCATAAGCTCCCCGGGGGCCTACAAAGATGGAGCCTGGTCTGTCTTAGTCCTCAAAATTCTCGGCCCCTGCTAGGCCGATCAGATCAGGATCTGCCTTTGAAGCACCACAACTAGCAACCAAATGCCGCACTCGGGTGTTAGGCCATTGACCGTCATCTCCATCCTCTTCCTTTTCAGGGCACTCATTTTCCAATGGCCCATTTGCCTGCACCTTGCACATTGGTTCCTGTCCAACTGGAACCAGCTTTCATCTCCCAGTCTTGTTTGCCCCCTTCCTCAGTCTCTGCCTCAGCCTCGCCCTCTAGCAAATCCAGGGTTACTTTCTGCTAGTGCAGCAGCTATACATTGAGCTGTCTCTTTGTTTCTATTTCTGGTTTTTCTTTCTTCCTTTCTCTCCACCTTTTCTTCCTGGTTTATGTATATTTTGTTTGCTATTTCCAGGGGTTCACTAATATTTTTCCCTGCAAAGCCTTCCAGCCTCTGAAGCTTTTGTCTCATGTCTCCCTGAGCTTGCCTGACAAATGCCATATTTATCATATTTCAGTTTTTAGGAGCCTCTGGAATAATTGGAGTGTACAGTCTATAGGCCTCACAAAGCCTTTCATTAAATGCATTTGGGCTTTTGTCAGGCTTTTGGCATACTTCTGATATTTTGCTCATATTCATTGCCTTCCTTCCTCCCTCCTGCTTTTATCTCATTCAGGAGTGCCTTTCTACATAGCTGCAGCCCTTCCATGTCCCTTGCCTCATTTGGGTCCCAGTTAGGGTCCTCATCTGGTTATCGCTCCATGGTGAACTGGCACGGGTTAGGGGTGGTCTCTGGGGCTTCCCCTTGTAACCAGCTGAGAGCTGCCTGATTAACTCTCTTATGCTCCTCTGTATTAAATAATGTTAGCAAAAGTTTCTGACAGTCTGGCCAGGTTGGGTTATGTGTCATAATAATAGAATTCACCAAATCAGTGAGAGCCTGAGGTTTTTCTGTATAGGAGGGGGTGTGCTGTTTCCAATTTAAGCAATCAGTAGTGGAGAAAGGCTGATAAACATAAAGCCTAGGGCCAGCTTGTATCTGCCTCTGGGCATCATAAACCTGTGTTCTGGTCTCTCCAAGTGGCATCTGCAAAGCCCGTGGTCGGCCTGAGCAGAGGCACCCAGCTGCCTCGCCCTGTCCATCTTCCTTGTTTTTTTCTAATGGGGGCTTCTGATCCTCTGTAGGGGGAGATTGAGCCTCACTTTCCTCTGAGCCCAACTCTACAGACACTCCTGACTCTGCCTCCTGCCTTATTCTGGTCAAAGACGGGTAGACTGGCACATATGGGGGTAGACATTCCCTTTCCTCAGGTGGGGCCTGAAGAACTGGTTTCGGCTGAGGCTTCAGGGATTCCTTTTCCTGGGAGACGCTAGGGGCTTTGGGTTCCTCTGCTTCCTTTGGTTGGGCTGCACGAGCCACTAATGCCTTGCAATATCCCTCTAGGCAGGGCTGTAGCCACTTGAGGCGACTTTGTGCCACATGGAGCCAAGAGTCTATATAGGGAAACTGGTCTGGGTATCCTGGTTGTCCTCGAACTCCAGTGACCACCTTAAACACATGGCCAGTTAATTCCCTGTCTATTATACCTTCAGAGGTGCCACCCCACATTGAAAGCAGGCCAATCTATTTCACAGTATGTCCTTAGCTTTAGAGCATCCAGTTTCATCCCATAATCACCTCTAAATCCTTTTTTAAAACTCTATATCATGCACTCCAAAGGAGTTAGTTTCAATGCTTTCCCTCCCATTTCCACCCTTGCAGTGCACTTTCACTCTCACTTTCACCCTTGGGTCCACCAGACCGGGTCCTATTATGGGAGTTTCATACACTGCTTAGCCAGGAACGTGCATTCCCGTCACAGCCTGCTGTGGCTGTGAAGCTGGTCTTATCAGCCGTATACAGTGTCGTAGGTCTGATTTCCCCCACACTCGCCTCGGAGCACACAGCCCATGCTAAGGGATCTGTGCCTCCCCACATCACTCCCCACATTGGCCTCTCCCGAGACTATCTCTTTCTCACACTTTCACACACCTCCCCTGCACCAGGACTCCTCATCGGATGAAACGAGCGCCTCTCGTGTCCCGGGTGAGCCTAGTTAGGCTCCCACATTCACACATATACACACACCACTCCTATCCCAGGACTCCTCATCGGACAAAACGACCCTCTCTCATGTCCCAGGTAGGTTCACATGCACCCACACACTCCCAGTTGGGGTGGCAAGCCACTCTTGCCACCCTGCCAGCAAGCTCTACCTTGCTACACTTGCCACTGTATTGGCCCATTTTCTCCCTTTTCCCAGTTCCATTGTTAGTGGGGACATGAGGTTCATCCAAATTGGCAAGCCACTCTTGCTGCCCCCAGCCACTCTGGGTTAGATTAATGGTCGGTCCCTGAGAGGTAACCAAGCTCTCCTTCATCCTTATGGGACGGGCTTTCCTGTCTTGAGCCCTTGCTCCTTACCACAGTTCCTGAAGTGCTGGTATCGTCCTGCAGCCCCGTCCCCGAATCCGTTGCACTGCCAGGCAGGTCAGTGGGATGCAAGGAGAGCCAGTCTCTGTCCGGGTGAAGCTCCCCTGTGGCAAGTCTTAGATGCCAGGTCTCCCCTGGTCCCAGGGCTCTAGTCCTGAAGGCAAAGGGAACAGTAAATCTGTCGTCTCCAATCCCAGGCGAGTCCCCAGAAATGTTACAGGATGTTTTAAGGAATCAGAGACCAATGGGGTTCAGGAAGATATTTATTATTTAAGTGCACTGGCCCTTAAACAGTCGGATTAAAAACCGAAGGACTGAGCCCTGAACAAACAGTTAAGTTACCTTTTAAGCATTTTGTGGGGTGGGTGGAGATCTGTGAAGGGGGAAGCATATTACAGGAGTGAGAAACAAGGACAGTTATTTAATTAACTGAGACGTGCATTACAGCATTTCTTACTTTTCAAGGAAAACCATGTTTTACGACTTGAGTTTATCTGTCTAGTGAACCTGCAGCTGCACAGCTAGAGAAACAGGGTCTTTACAATGCCTGGGAAAGGAAGAGAGATAAGGCTCCCTAGCCACAGAGAAACAGGCAGTTAATTTTTAAAGGACTCCAGCTCTTTCTCTTTCTCAGGGGCAATTGGGTTGTCTTACATACAACTGAGTTTCTGCTTACACATTCTTTAATTTCCTTTAATTCCTATTCCAATACCATAGAAGCAATTAAGGGCAGGTCTAGAGTTAGTTAAGGTGGAGGTGGTGATAGAGAGAAGGACAGGGTTACATTGATAAGGCTAACAATTAGAAGGGGCAGTTCTTTTAATGAAATAGATGAGGGGTTTTAGATCTGCACAAACCTTTTTCATGGAAGTCCAACTTTGCTTCTGAGTAGTTTAAAGGACATAGTCCCATTTACTACAAGGTTGCCAGGCTATAGGAGCAGAAAATCAGCATCTTGGCTGCAGGTGATCACAACAATGAGTGCTAGGGGTAACTGTGTAAATTAGAGGGCTGGGGCATAAATAATTGTGTGAAAAGGTTAGCTGTCATTGATCTTTTACATTTCCACAAAGTATGATAGAGCAAGCATTAAAGGCAACGGTCTGAGGTGAGTCAGACTTAGTTACAAAGGAGCTAGTAACAGAACAAGGAAAGGAAAGGAAGCAATATAGAAAGTATATGAAAATTAAGCTTTCTTTAACTTTAACTTAGTAGGGCTTAATCCTAGTACAGTAACGCATGATTCTGACGAAGAAGATGTTTTCTTGACTCGAGTATGGTGGGTCCATCCTTTCTTGGCTGTGCGGACGGCAGTCTCAGTGGTTAACAGCAAAAAATAGGGTCCTTCCCAGGCTGGCTCGAGTTTTTTTCTTTCTGTCTTTTGATAAGGATGTGGTTTCCAGGCTTGTGCTGGTGTACTGGAAATTCTAGGGGTAGTGCCTGTGCTAAAACACTTTTAGCACAGGGAAGGGAAAGTGGAAGATAAATTAAATATATAATTTTTGCTGCATATCCTGGGGCTTGAGGCCCCATGGTGATGCCTCCCACTCCATTCCTGCTCAGCACCACTCATGCGATGCTGTGGCCCTGCCCCCTCTTCAGATCTTGGCCTTCTAGTGGCCTTCACCTCCCCTGCGCATTGTGGCCTTTGGGATGAGGGGCTTGTGACTTACCCAGCTGCCCTTGGGCCTTAAGAAAGCTAAACACCATTTTATATTTGACAATGTTTTTTGTATCATTTTGTACCAGATAAGATAAAATTTACCTTTATATTAATGTGCTATTAATGTTAAACTTAATTTTAATAAAATCTTGTAGACATCCCATTTTAATGTCTGGCTATAAGGTAAGATTTTTATAGCCTCTTTTTAACATGTTAAAATTTTTGTGAAAGAGCACGTTAGTGATTTAAGAAAAATCTATTGTGCTTTTATTTTAATGTCCAGTTCACAGAAAAACTGGATGATAAACCCTTTAGCTTTAGCGAAAATGTTTACACACAGAATTTCCTTCATAATTAACATGTTAAAACTTGCTTACAGCTTTAAAACAAAAATTTTTTAACCTTTTAATGTAGGTAAAAATCCATATTCTTATGCCTCCTTATAATCCTTTTATTAAGAGCATATTTTATTTTTCTTACATACTTTGTACATAAACTGTTGTTTTAATAGTTTTACATTCACTAGGTCTAATTACATTTAAATTATACAATATTTCTTGCATAAATTCCCTTTTATAACTTTTCTTATGACTTTCACAATCTTCAACATGTCTTAACTTTCTGCCTTCCTTTTACACTATTTCTTTTCCTAGTTTCACCCTCTGTATCTTTGATTTCTGTCTCTTCCAGTTTCCCTCTTACTTATTCTTTCCCCCCATTTCTCTCTCTCTCATTTGCACTTTCTTTTTCTCTCTCTCTCCCCATCATCCCTTGTTTCCTTTTTCCCTCCCGAGTTCTCCTGGTCCTGCGGCAGGTGGAGCCGAACAATGGCATGAGCCCCGCCCCCACACACGCACTGCTGTTTCATCTGTTTCATCTGGTTTTTTTTTCTTTTCCCAATTTCCCTTTTTACTTTTCTCCTTTCTTCCTACACTCAGTTTCTTGGCTAGGTGGGATTTGTGGGGCTGCAGTCCAGGCCCCAGGCCATCACTGACCCAGAGGCTTGGCAGATGCCTGCTGCAAATTGCAAGAATTATGCCCTTTCACCTCCTCTGCTCTCCTCCCAGCTCCGTTCCCCACCCTCTTTTTCACATAGAGCTGGGCTGGGGAGAGGAACTTAACCCTTTGTGCACCTGTCTGGCTCCCTGCTTGCTGTTTTTCTTCTCTTTCTCTCTGACTTCCTTTCCTGGTTTCTTTTTACTCCCTGCTGGTCTTTCCTTTGCCTCTGCCAGCCACCTATGCTGCTGTTTTCCCCTCTCTCCTTCCCCTTCACCTAAGGGAGCAACCAGTGGGAGTGGAGCTTAGCCTTTTTCTTTCCCCAAGAAGAGAGGAAAGGGGAGTTTTGAATATATGTATATATTTACTACCAGAGATTTGTGTGAGGTTCAACCCCCACAATGGGGATTTCTCACCTCTTTTTGAGGTTCAACCCCCCAATGGAGATTTCTCACCTCTTTTTGAGGTTCAACCCCCCGCCATGGGGATTTCTTACCTCTTTTTAAGGTTTAACCCCCTCAATGGGGATTTCTCACCTCTTTTTAACCTCCAAGATATCCTGACTAAGGAATACTTTACCTCTCCCCATGGCTTTCTTTCCCTAGTCCTGACTAAGGAATGCTTTACTAGGCCGGGCGCGGTGGCTCACGCCTGTAATCCCAGCACTTTGGGAGGCCGAGACGGGCGGATCACGAGGTCAGGAGATCGAGATCATCCTGGCTAACACGGTGAAACCCCGTCTCTACTAAAAAAAAATACAAAAAACTAGCCAGGCGAGGTGGCAGGCGCCTGTAGTCCCAGCTACTCGGGAGGCTGAGGCAGGAGAATGGCGGGAACCCGGGAGGCGGAGCTTGCAGTGAGCTGAGATCCGGCCACAGCACTCCAGCCTGGGCGACAGAGCGAGACTCCGTCTCAAAAAAAAAAAAAAAAAAAAGGAATGCTTTACCACCCCTGCGGTTTCTCTCTCCTTGGTATGTCTTAACCAAGGAATACTTTACCACCCTGCCGCTTTTTCCTTAGTCCCCACCACCAAGGAAATACTTTACCAGCTCTCCCAGTGTTTTTTTTTTTTTTTTCCTCAGTCTGTGCACAGAGTTTCCTGGTTCACGTGATATGTGAGGATGCTTTACTCCAGATTGCCAGCCAGTGTTTTTTTCCTGCGTTGCTGAGAGTCTGGGTTTATTCATCACACCAGGTGGGCCTTAATTCCATATCCCTGAGGCCACTGCAATAAGGCAGAGGAGTATGCTCCCTCATGAGAAAGGACTGGAGACCACCCCTGGAAGAGAATATATCTGTGTATGGATTTCCACCAAAATTGTTAGAAATGCTTGTTCCCCAGTGCCATAAAGAAATTTACTTGAATGTAAATATAATTTCCTCAGCAAGGGCATTTTTACTCTCTGCAGAAAGAGTACACTCGCCAGCAGTTCTGCCACTAGAGTACACTGAACAAGGGAGACAGGGTCGTTTATAACCTGACATGTCCACCCTACTGACAGGTGACGACGTGCTAGCAGCCCTCACTCTCAGTGCCTCCTCGGCCTCGGCATCTGCTCTGGCCACACTTGAGGAGCCCTTCAGCCCACCACTGCATTGTGGGAGCCCCTCTCTGGGCTGGCTGAGGCTGGAGCTGGCTCCCTCTGCTTGCTGGGAGGCATGGAGGGAGAGGCGCGGATGGGAACCAGGTTGCGCTCAGCGCTCGAAGGCCAGTGTGAGTTCTGGGTGGGCACGGGCTCAGCCAGCCCTGCACTCAGAGTGGCCTGCCAGTGCCACCAGCCCCAGGCAGTGAGGGGCTTAGCACCCAGGCCAGCAGCTGCAGAGGGTGCTCCGGGTCCCCCAGCAGTGCTGGCCTGCCCACACCATGCTCAAATTCTCGCCAGGCCTCAGCTGCCTTCCCATGGGGCAGGGCTTGAGACCTGCAGCCCACCATGCCTGAGTCTCCCCTATGGGTGCCTCACCTTGCTCTGCAGCACCTGGTCCCATCAACCGCCCAAGGGCTCAGGAGTGCAGGCGTGCAGCATGGGACTAGTGGGCAGCTCCACCCGCAGCCCTGGCATGGGATCCATTAGGCGAAGCAAGCTGGGCTCCTGAGTCAGGTGAGGTCTTGGAGAATTTTTATGTCTAGCTGGAGGATTGTATAGGCACCAATAAGCACTCTTTGTCTAGCTCAGGGTTTGTGGATGCACCAATCAGCACTCTGTATCTAGCTAATCTGGTGGGGACTTGGAGAACTTTTATGTCTAGCTCAAGGTTTGTAAATGCACCAATCAGCACCCTGTGTCTAGCTAATCTAGTGGGGACCTGGAGAACTTTTGTGTCTAGCTAAAGGATTGTAAATGCACCAATCAGCACTCTGTGTCTAGCTCACAGATTGTAAATGCACCAATCAGCTCTCTGTAAAATGGACTAATCAGCTCTCTGTAAAATGGACTAATCAGCTCTCTGTAAAATGGACCAATCAGCAGGATGTGGGTGGGGCTAGATAAGGGAATAAAAGCAGGTTGCCCAAGTCAGCCAGGGGCAAGCCACTCAGGTCCCCTTCCACACTGTGGAAGCTTTGTTCTTTTGCTCTTTACAGTAAACCTTGCTGCTGCTCTCTCTTTGGGTCCACGCTGCCTTCATGAGCTGTAACACTCACTGCAAAAGTCTGCAGCTTCATTCATGAAGCCAGCGAGACCATGAACCCACCGGGAGGAATGAACAACTCCAGACACGCCACCTTTAAGAGCTGTAACACTCACCACGATGGTCCACGGCTTCATTCTTGAAGTCAGCAAGACCAAGAACCCACCAATTGTGGACACACTACTGCTGTGTCCAGTTTCCATTGACTGGAATGGAACCTCACATTCTGTATTAGTCCCGACTGGCTAGCAACTTAGAATTTTTTATGAGAGGCAAAGGCAGAGGAGAACAAAGGAAGGAGGAAGTAATTTATGGAATGCCGAGAAAGGTAAAAAACACCTTCAAATAAGGAAAGGGAACAGGCTATGACCTAATGCTTGCTTGGACCAGTATAAGCATGCCAGGGCAAATATTTAGGCTAAATTGTGGGAGCTAAGAACATAAAGTACATTGATTTCTTTATTACGGCTCACAGATATTTAAGAATGTTTTCCCAGGTCTTTGAATAAATCTTGCTTCCAAGAATAAACAAAATAGAGAATAGGAAAGCAGTATAAACAATCAGCAGAACCAAAATGTGGTTCTCAGAAAGATAAACAAAGTTGACAAACTTTTATTTTTTTTTTATTTTTTTTTTTTTTTTTGAGACGGAGTCTCGCGCTGTGTCACCCAGGCTGGAGTGCAGTGGCGCGATCTCGGCTCACTGCAAGCTCCGCCTCCCAGGTTCACGCCATTCTCCTGCCTCAGCCTCCGAGTAGCTGGGACTACAGGCGCCCGCCACCACGCCCGGCTAGTTTTTTGTATTTTTAGTAGAGACGGGGTTTCACCATGTTAGCCAGGATGGTCTCGATCTCCTGACCTCGTGATCCACCCGCCTCGGCCTCCCAAAGTGCTGGGATTACAGGCTTGAGCCACCGCGCCCGGCCAGTTGACAAACTTTTAACCAGACTAAGAAAAAGAGAGAATATCAAAAACTAAAATAAGAAATGAAAGAGGGGATAATACTGGTACAAAAACAGACACATAGACCAATGGAACAGAATAGACAGCCCAGAAATAAAGCTGCACACCTATGGCCATTTGATCTCCTACAAAAATGAACAATGGGAAAGGACTCCCTATTCAATAAATGGTGCTGAGATAGCTAGCTAGCTATATGCAGAAGAATGAAACTGGACCCCTACCTTTTATCATATAAAAAATTAACTGAAGATGGGTTAAAGATTTAAATGTAAAACATCAAACTATAAGAACCCTAGAAAATCTAGGAAACACCATTCTGGACATCAGCCTTGAGAAAAAGTTTGTAAATCCTCAAAAGCAATTGCAACAAAAACAAAAATTGACAATTGGGACCCAAGTAAACTAAAGCGCTTTTGCATAGCAAAAGAAGCTATAAACAGAGTAAATAGACAACCCACAGAATGGGAGAAAATATTCACAAACTATACATCCAACAAAGGCCTAGTATCCAGAATCTATAAGGAAACAATTCAAGAAATAAAAAACAAGTAACTCCATTAAAAAGTGGGCAAACAACACATGAACAGATATTTTTCAAAATAAGACATACAAGTGGCCAACAAACATTTGAAAAAATGTTCAATATCACTAATCATCAGAGAAATGCAAATCAAAACCACAATGAGATACCATCTCACACCCATCAGAATGGCTATTATTAATAAGTCAAAAAACAACAGATGCTGGTGATGCTGCAGAAAAAAAGGACACTTACACACTATTGGTGGAAATGTGAATTAGTTCAGCCACTTTGGAGAGCAGTTTGGAGAATTCTCAAAGAACTTAAAACAGAACTGTCATTTGACCCAGCAATCCCATTACTGGCATATATCCAAAAGAAAATAAACTGTTCTACCAAAAAGACACATGCACTCATATATTCATCACAGCAATATTCACTATAGTGAAGGCGTGGACTCAACCTAGATGCCTATCAAGGGTGGACTGGATAAAGAAAATGTGGTACATATACACCATGGCATACTGTGCAGACATAAAAAAGAATGAAATCATGTCTTTTGCAGCAACACGGATGCAGCTGGAGGCCATTATCCTAAGTTAATTAACACAGGAACAGAAAACCAAATACTGCATGTACTCACTTACAGTCGTAGCTAAACATTGGGTACTCATGGACAAAAAGATGGCAATAATAGGCACTGGGGACTGATGGGGGAAGGTAGGGAATGGGGCAAGGGTTGAAAAACTAACTGTTGGGTACTATGTTCACTAGTATCCCATCCGAATGACAGGACCATTCATATCTCAAACCTCAACATCATGCAATATACTCATGTAACAAACCTGCACATGTATCCCCTGAATCAAAGATAAAAGTTGAAATTATTTTTTAGAAGAGGGGATGTTACCACTGATATGACAGAAATAAAAAGGATTATAAGAAAATACTATGAACATTGTATTTCAACAAATTAGATGCCCTAATGTATTGAAAAAAATTCCTACAAACATACAAGCTACCAAAACTGACTCAAGAATAAATAGAAAACCTGCATAGACTTATAACAAGTATGATATTTGACAATAGTGCCAAACCATTCAAAGTGAAACGGCTTCGTCTAGGGACATACCTGTGGTTAGCTGTCTCACGCTGATGATTAACGACATGGACACACACGTGGAGTGGGTTAAGGAGCAAAAAGTTTAACAGACAAAAAGGAAGAGAGACAGAATAAGCTTCCTCATGCTGAGAAAGCAGGTCGCCGGAGAGAGGGTTTCCGGGTTTGGGGCAAAACGTGATCAATTTTGTACGGAGGCTTGAGGAGGCGGTGATTGATTTACATAGGGCCCAGGGGATTGGTTTGACCAGGTGTTCCATTTACACAGCCCATGAAAAGACTGGCCCTCCAACCCTAATATTTTATTATGCAATTGTGGCTTCTATCTGACTGTTGCCATGACACCTGCACATGTGACTTTACCCCGCTGGTGCCATGACACCCACACACGTGGTCACAAAGAAAAGGGAGCGAGAATCACCATATTGAATGTGCCTGGCTTCCAGGTACAGCTGCTGGTATTCAATATGAAAGCTAGCTTGCATAGCTATGCTTGCAGCTTGACGTTTCAGGCCGCTTTCTGTTAGAAAAGAAATGGTTTGGGGGTCGCTTTTTATCAATGGAAAATTCCACCAAGAACTCTTTACCCTTTATAATTGCCTAAAATAATTTTTAATAACTGCTGTATTTAAAGGATATGTGTACTGAAACTAAGCCAAAACACAACTTTAATAGGCCTAAGGTCTGTGTGTCTGCTTCTAGACAAAATAAATGGGGTACAGAACAAATAAAAAGGTGTTGATGGGGAGAGAACGGACCATGGTCTTTCACAGAGCATTCTGTGCTTCTGGACTCAGAAAAGCTGTCAGACACCTGGTTATGGCTTATTACAGCTACAGAAAACACATTAAAATCAGTAAAGGAAAAAGGTATCACTTGAAGAGAACAGATATTCACATTTCAAATTAAATACTTCAGGAAATCCAGTTTAAATAATTGAAAGCAAAACTCAAATGCCAAAAGTGGGTAAATATTTAGCCATATTTTCTTTTAAGTTTCTTTAGATTAATTGTTGTTATTATTGTTGCTGCTGTTGAATATCCATTGCCTTCCTATCCTTAACACTACAGGAACACAAATATGTCATCGTAGACATATTAGCGTAAGGCATTCCCTACTCTTCTAACCAATTCTGAACTCTTAACCGTGTGATTTCAAATAAAAAATTTTCCCAGGATATGCTCGGTAGTAAAGATACAAATAGGTTTGTAACAATGACATTTGGGGAAATTTATCAGGGCTTTACATGTATTTACAGAATAGAAACAGGCAGAGAACGCTTAAGGGCACTAATCCTATTTGTGAAGACTCTACCCTCATGACCTAATAACCTACCAAAGGCCCCACCTTCTAATACAATCACACTAGGGGTCAGGATTTCAACATATGAATTTGCGGGGGGACACAAACATTGAGTCCATAGCACTGTCATATACTAGTGTTCTGTAGCAGATTAGCAAATTTATGAACACACAATTTCTAGAGGAATATACTTCCTCATTGTATAATTTTTCATGTTTATTAACAGAACCAGATGTATTTAGCTTCACTATATCATATAAAAATAAAACATCAGGCCAGGCATGGTGGCTCAATCCTGTAATCCCAACACTTTGAGAGGCTAAGGTGGGCGGATCATGAGATCAGGAGATTGAGACCATCCTGGCTAACACAGTGAAACCCTATCTCTACTAAAAATACAAAAAAGTAGCCAGGCATGGTGGCACGCACCTGTAGTCCCAGCTACTCAGGAGGCTGAGGCAGGAGAATCACTTGAAACCAGGAGGTGGAGGTTGCAGTGAGCTGAGATCGCGCCACTGCACTCCAGCCTGGGCGACAGAGGGAGACTCCATCTAAAAAAATAAAATAAAATAAAACCCCAAAAGCATATAAACTTAAAACTTAGGTTCAGTAATTAGTGTTTAAGTGGTTTATCTTACTTAGAAAAGATCTAGATTCTTATTTTAGGCAAACATAACATTAAACAAGGCTAGCCATCATTTGAAGTTATTTCCCTATTAACTATTTTTACAGCATGTCCATGTTTGGCATCACAAAAGCAAAAACCTAAAATGTTAAATGCATGAGTTCATTGTTTTACTACTGTGCTTGACACATGTGAGGTAATGGATATCAGACAATTCATTTTTACCTGCATCTTTACTTGTACATTTGTTCTTAGCTTGGATTTTATTATTATTATTATTATTATTATTATTATTTCAGAGACAGTCTCACTCTGTCCCCGGGGCTGGAGTGCAGTGGCACCTTCTCAGGTTACATACATATTTGTTCCATACACATGTGTCAAGACAGCCTTCATAAATATTTATGACCCCTCCTGTATGTCTTAACCAAAAGATGTGGAAAATATAAACTAAAAAAAAAAAAAAAAAAAAAAAAACTTCAATTTGTGTATTGAGTCCACCTGTCATCATATCCCCACAGGAACTCTGGATACAACTGACAGTGGGGACGGGGCATGATAAGTAATTAAGACTGAATGCTACATATTATCCCAGATAATTCAGAAAATGTCTTGTTAGCTCTGCAAAACATGAACCAACAAATCAAAACTATATCTGACCCCACATTATCGCTAGCTCAATAGTTAGCATCCTGGTTCAGGTCAGAACCGTCCTGGCGTCTAAAGCTCCTTATAACTTTGGCCCTGGTTGCAGGGATAGGCATATTTCTTTCCTGTGGATTTTACTGCTGTTGCACCTTCTGTATGGAAATGCAAGACGGGTTTTCCCAAGAGACTTTCCTGGCCTCGCACCATAATGCTCCAGCAAACATTGTCTGTGAACCCCAGTATTTGTGAATATTTCCAACTCCAATGGATCAGTTCCATTCTGATACCCTATAACTCCTCCCACTTTCAGCAGTAAGTAGCCAGAATAAAAACAATGCCCAAATGCCATGAAAATGGAATAGAATTTGACAGTGGGGAGTCGTAACCAAGTACCTCATTTTCTTTAAAAGAATTATTTTTAACCTTTTTTTCTTTTTCCCTCACCTCTTACTTTGCTCTTTAGGAATACAATTATAAACTTTACCTTCTTTCCAACAGGCACTCCCTGTGAAGCAGGAGAATAGGGGCTGGAGGCAGGAAACCTAAAGCTGTTTCACGCTGACTTCCTAGAACTAAATTGAAAGGAAAACCTTAACTTTCCACACCTAAGTAACAAAAGGACCAGAGGCTACTGCCTTTGCAAACCCCCACCCTTCCTTCATGGCAGATGGGAAATTGAAAGTACCTCTGATTGGTTGATTTTGGCAACCAATCAGAATTTTGTATAGGAGTGTAACTTTATAACTTTAGTTCAGCTCAATCTGATTGATTGCCAGCCAGGTCTTCGTTTGCATAGAAGTACAACTTCGTGACTTCACTTTAGCCTCTGATTGGTTGCTTTCTGCAACCACCAGATGTTTGCATAGGAATGTGACCTTTGTAAGTTCACTTCAGCCTCTGATTGGTTGCTTTCCACAACCATTCAGACTGATTGCAGGCCACCACTTTATTTACATGAGGTGAGCACCAAGTGGCCAATGGGAAACCTCTAGGGGGTATTTGGACCCAGGAAGATTCTGTATCTGGGCCCTTGAGCCACTGCTCAGGCCTGCTGCCCCCCTGTGGAGTGTACTTTCGATTTCAGTAAATCTCTGCTTTTGTTGCTTCACTCTTTCCTTGCTTTTCTTTGTGCATTTTGTCCAATTCTTTGTTCAAAACGCCAAGAACCTGGACACCCTCCACCAGTAACACCTAGACTGAAAGCTTATCTAAATATATGTTTGCTTAGAAGTGTCAGGGACCAAATCTCAAAACAAAACAGGCACTCTCTGGAATTCCCCACCAGGAGATTGTCTCAAGACAACAATTAATTCACAATCCAATTGCATCCATGATGGTGCAGACCAGACCATCACATGGCATCACTCAATATAAGTCATCCAAGTGAGTTACGTAGACCCCGCACCTCCTCGCCCCTCCTCCATGCCATTCACACCAACTTTCCCTTTTTAAGCCCTTGCTTTCTGCCCTGAAAGTTAAAGCAGTTCCCTTAAGGCAGGAGCCTGTTGTTTCCCCAAAAAGTCACTTTCTTTTTACCACCCTCGTCCTTGTTATTCAATTTTGCAAGCAATGAGCAGCTGAGCTTGCATTTGGTTACAGTAAGAGGAGGAAAGAGGAGAGAAACCAATGGGAAGAGAGAAGTCTTAGAGACACCAGTTTGGGGAGATCATAAGTTTCCCAAAAAGACCAGTGAAGTTCCAAATTATCCTCAGCAAAATCACGTCAACAAGAAGGAGTTGGACAGTGTAGGTGGAGCATATAGTCAGTAGGAATTCAAGAATGGTGTTTCAGTTGACTCAGAAGTTCCCATGGGAAAAACAGGATCAAATAGAACAGAGAGACCTCACAAAATAATAAGGAAAAAAATTTCCAGCTTGGGCAACATAGTGAGACCCTGTCTCTACAAAAAAAAAAAAAAAATTAAAATTAGCCAGGCATGGTGGCGTGTTCCTGTACTCCTAGCTACTCAGGGGTGCTGAGGTGGGAGGATTGCTTAAGCCTGGGAGGTTAAGGCTGCAGTGAGCCATGATCACACCACTGCGCTCCAGCCTGGCCAACAGAGGAAGACCCTGTCTCAAAAAAAAAAAAAAAAATTCCAGCCCAAAGAATCAATGAATAATTCCCACTCAAAATAGAAAGCCAGAAAGAAAAACTTCCAGCCCAGGGAGCCAGACTAATCCCCACTCAAGACAGAGATCCAGGAAGGAGATCGTCCAGCCTAGGAGACACCTTTCAAAAGAAGCCTAGTACTCTAACCTGCTTCAGAGAGTATACTCAGAATCTTAAGAATCAAATCAGTCCTTACCAGCTTTAACAGAAGTTTGCCTGGAACAATGGTTCAAAAGTCTGACTTAGCAGTGGATCCCAAATCCATCAGTCAGGAGTGAAGGAAAGGGCTTAAAAGGTGCACGTTTGAGGTCTGCAGTGATAGGTCCAGGAGTCCAGTGATGAATCTGATCCTATAAAAGTCACAGCATCATTACTGTTCAACTTTTTTTTTAAACGACACGTGTTAAAGATGGTGAGAAAGACTGTGTTCAAGGGGGAAATATCAAGATAAGTATAGGAACCACTGCAACGGCATCTTACAATGGGGGAGATAGATTTAGATCAGCTAAAATAGTGTAAGCAAGTGGGAATTTAGAGCCAAGGAACAAGGTGGGAGTCAATGGATGGAAATTTACTAAGAGGAAACATCAGGCATAATGGAAGATTTGGGCTAAACCGACCTAACAGAATTTTTACTGAAGGCAGCCCAGGGTGATCAAACATCACCTGGGACATGATGGAGGATGAGGAACCAGATAAGATATTGAGAGTGGTTGGATACGGGGAATGGCTAAATAGACTTAGCAGGACTTAGCAATTTCCTTGCTGAAACTGGACAGTGCAGAGACAAACTCAGAAATCCAAAAATGCAGGCCTAGTTGAAAAAGAGCTCAAGGGAACCTGAGTAGAATTTGGTCAGTAAGAGAATCTTTGTCAGCACTAGAATTCTGGGATGAAAAAAACAGAGGTCCTTCCTTCCAGGAGCTCAGTGTAGTGGGGAATAAAAACATGCTCTCTAATCCCAGCTGCTTGGGAGGCTGAGGTGAGAAGATCGCTTGAGGCCAGGAGTTCCAGACCAGCTTGGACAAGGTAGCGAGACCTCATCACTAAAAAATATACATTTTTATTACATAATATATATAATATATAATATATTAATATATTAACATATATAATATATAACATATATATTACATATATTTCTCTCTAATGATAACATAAGACAAGGAAATTCCAGTAAGTATGAGGTGTTTGGCCATGTGTGCTCCAGCAGGAGGTGAAAGGTAGAGGAAGGAGACCAGGGCACCTTGTGAAGGGACGTGATGAAGAGTAAGAATGTAAGTAAGAATGTAAGGGGGTAGGTAGGATATATAAGGGATCCATCAGCTAGCTGGATTGAACGGGTGAAAACGCAAGGCAGGCAGAGAGGAAATGTGAATAGTCAGAAGATATCAGGGACTCTGCAGGCAGGTGAGCTCACTCACTTCTCCTCCCTCTCTTTGTTGAGAAGGCCAGGCCACAGCTTGTCACACCCATAGGGGTGTGGGTAGCTGTTATTGGCAGACCAGAAGGCAGAAACTAATGGGATGCCATGTGGGGCAGAGGACCACCCTAGAAAGCAAGACCACTAGTGTGAGCAGTAGGAGTGGTTTCAAGAGCCTTGGTGGAGGCCATCCAGCTGGTGGCTGAGGCCATTCCAGTCCCTAGGCCATGGGCAAGATTGAAAGTGAAAGCAGCAGTCCTGCAGGGAGTGGGCAGATTTGCTGGGCTCGGGGCTCTTCCACCAACTTTGACATTTCCTCCAGAGCCCAAGGCCTCCCAGATACCTCACTGCTGCTGTGGGATAAGGGGATAAATAAAAAAGCCAGTAGGGCAACTGGGTCCCTGCCTCCTTCCAGTTCCACATGACATTCAAGTCTAAGCTAAACAGGAGACCTTGTCCTTTCTCTGCCTCATTCCGAAATGACCCAAGGGAAGTCTTACCAAAACACCAAGGCTACAGTCAGTTCTGCTGCTCACTGCACAGAAAGCCAATCACTGAGACAGTGAGTACTGCCAAGGAAGAAGGCTATAATCAGATGCTGCAGCTGAGACGGAAGCTCAGTCTCAAATCCATCCCCCGGACCAACTAAAACTAGGGATTTAATAGCAGGGAAGAAATTTAACAATGTGTAAGAAAACAGGAACTAGGGAGGGGCAAGGAAGCAATCAAGATGAAAGAGGGGTCTAGCATTTCACTGTCTGGATGTGGTGATCTGGTGAGTTTCAGTTCTTTGATCCCTTTTTTTTTTTTTGAAAGGCCTGAAGATTGCTTCCTGAGGAAGGCACTCAGATAAAACAAATGTAAGGTTCAAACTTTAAGACCAGAAGGGTTCATTTCTATTTTTATCAAAAGAACAGTCCATGGCAGGGCTCCCCAACCCCTGGGCCACAGAGCAGTACTGGTCTGTGGCCTGTTAGTAAATGGGCTGAGCAGCAGCAGGTGAATAGCAGGCGAACAAACATTACTGCCTGAGCTCTGCCTCCTGTCGGATCAGTGGTGGCATTTTATTGTCATAGGAGTGCGAACCCTACTGTAAACCGCGCATGTGAGGGATCTAGGTTGCACACTCCTTATGAGAATCTAACTAATGCCTGACGATCTGAGGTGGAACAGTTTCATCTCGAAACCATTGCCCCGCCCACCAAGTCCATGGAAAAATTGTCTTCCACGAAACCAGTCCCTGGTGCCAATAAGGCTGGGGACCACTGGTCTGTAGAACTGTCGGGTCAGTTTCAGAAGGACCACCGGCCACAAGACATATTTCACTGAGCAGCTGTTTCAACAATACAGTCAGTTCAGTCTGTGTTTCATGTGTGTTTATATCAGGTATTATATAGAGCACACTGTCATACATATCTGTATATAGATAATATATATATATGAGTGTATATAATATGTGCATCTGTATAATTATAGAGATGGCTCAAATCAAAGTACCTAATGTTTTCCTTAATCTCTCCTAAGTGGAAAGAAAAATATAAACGGGATGAATGGATGGGGAATAAAGGACAAAGTATTCAAAGCATTTCCTACGAAAATGACAATATGTTTATATGAGAGTTGCAATAAAAATACGGAGCGCTGAGTCAAACCACTGATAAACAACAAATATTTTTGGATAACTGTGTCTCATGCAATATTTGGGACATACTCTATACAAAAATATTTGTTGTTTATTTGAAACTCAAATACGAGTGTCCTGCAGTTTACCTGACAATGCAAGATTATTTCCTATACTTCGACATCAACAAGATTTGATTGCATTTAAATGTTTCTGTCCATTTGTTCTTCTATGTAATACTTTTAAAATAATTGGCATAAAAATTCAATCAATTCATAGAAGTCCAAAGCAAAAAAAAAAAAACAAATCTACTGACATCTCATGAGGAAGAAAGGATCAGGATTGACATTAATGAACCCTCTCACAGAGACCACTCCACACACAAAAACAAAGAAGGATGGGTGAATGGATGCAGAGAGAATTTAATAAGACTGAAATGATGCCATACATGCTTTTAAAAAATAAAAGTATTAAATTTTAAATTTTACTTCAATATAAGAGAAGAAAAAGAACAAAACGGAGATTGAAAGAACTGCTGAACTTCAGGAAGTTTTACTTGATCACAAATAGATACTAGTTTTATAAAATTCCCTTTTTCTTCTCAAGGGTGCCCTGCCCTTCCAGCCTGGTACCTTGCCCCTTGAGGCATAATATTTCTGAAAACTGTCCAAAGGACCTGCATATTGTTAAGAAGAGCTGCAAAATGTACCAGAGAGAAAGATCAGGTGAGCTGGTGCCTGATTCATTACTGTGAGGTCTCCTCTCTCGGACACTTGTGAAGTCTTAGTCATCAGTGCTCTGAACCTTAAGATCAGAACCAAATAAAGAGAATAAAAGATAAAGTTAGAGAAACTTCAGGCAGGGATGGAAGGCAGACAGCAAAGCATATATGGGCACGGGACTTATAATAAGGAACAGCAGGACAGCACAAGGGCATTCTTGGATTGTCGGCTTTAGAAATGCTGTCAATTATATTCTACTGCTCCAGAGAATGAAAATTGCTTAAAATTGGCTTCTTAGGCAGAGTTTACAAACTAGCAGCTCCAGCCTGAGTCTGTTCTGCAGACCTGATTTAGATGGCCCCCATACTTTTCAATAAAACATATTTCAGTTAGTTACCAACATTTAAAGAACTGAAGGTTTCATATCAACATTTTAATTTGGGGCCAATCTTGAAAAACTGAAAAATCTGGCAGTCCTGGCCCAACATTGCCAGCCAGCAACACTAAGCTGGAGCTGAATACTGGCTGCCCCTTTGGAAGACACATATTCTTTCCCAGTTTGCCACAGTCCCTACTCTGCTTGCTTCTTTCTTTTATGTTACCTGTCTGGCCTTGAATTCAACATTTGAATTTACAACTCTGATTATTACAATTTTTCTATTATGCAAACTGTCAGACATATATAAAAGCAGAGAGAATGGTAAAGATGAACCCTATTTGTACCCATTACCCAGTTTCAACAATTATTCATAGACAACCTTGTTTCATGAATACCCTAACCAATTCTCAGACACACTTGGATCTCCCCCTGGATTTTTGTGATGCACATCTAGACATCATATCATTTCACCAGTAAATATTTCAGTGTGTATCTCCAAAAGAACCAAATGTATGACTCCTAACCAGGCTTCTTCTGTTGTGTCACATATGCCATGAGTTATACTGTAGTGAGAGGATATATTACAGAGTAATAGTAATAAATATTTCTGAGGTCTTACTCTGTGACTAGGTATTGTGCTAGGTATTTACATATATTGTCATTTATTCCTCTCAATTCTATGGCATAGACAATGCTTTTATTCCCATCTTATAGATAATCTTCACATAGATGTCCTCTCTAACATATATACACGTGTGTGTGTGTATATATATATACACACACACATATATGCAAATACACTGCATATTGTTTATATTTATATACAATATAACATTGTATATACTTCATACTGATACTATTCACATATATATTTAATTGTATTAATATATAAACTAGAAAAGTAGTCTGGTTCTATTTTCTTTGGTCTTTTTTGAAATCATGTCAACTCTGATAATGGGAAATTTCCATAAGCTGAGGTTTACTTATCCCATTTTCTATTCACAAAAACTCAAAGTATGAACTTACTTCCCAAACCTGGAAAAGGCAACAAAATCACACAAACTTCAGAATATCTGGGGCAATGGTATCTACGTCTTGAAGCAGGTTTTAGAATGGCTGCCCTGCCAAATAAGTTTTTTCAGGTATAGTGACCTGCACACTGGTTTCAGTCATGCTCATGCATCTTACAAGTTCCTTTCTGGAAGGAGAAAACCACAAATGTTCAGTATTTAGAGTTGTGGATGAAACAAAATTTATGTTGTTCATTTCAAGCTTGCTTTTAAATACTTATCCCCCAACACCTCTCCCCGAGTACACTATTTTGTAATATCCAGATTAAGGCTGTCTTTAGGAATGATTTTCCCCCATACTGAATGCAAGGGGGCACAAAAAAAGTTCAGGATTCCAGAAAAATAACACTTTTTGCACTACTCTGAAAAATCAAAAATATTATGAGCAAATTATCAAATATTTAAATAAAAGCAGAATTTGCCCATCCACTTGCACAACCATGCCTTACTCTCCTCACCCTGATCATGGTTCTGGTTCCAATCAAATTCTACTTATACAAACCTAGTTATCAAGCCAAAGTCTCCCCACTTGATTCATTTAAATGTTGCTTTAAAATATTTACCTTGATGTCCAGGAGGCATTGCCTCCACCCTGAAGTCCAAGGGCAAACAGGCCCCAGCAGCCTTGAAACCCCTAGGTAGCCTTTGGCTCAGAAAGGTTTGGAAGGGGCCTGGGGAAAGAGAATAAGCCCTGAGCCCAGCCCCTGCTCCGTGAAAAGTGGGTGCCGCCTGAGCATGCCACTTACCTAACACGTCCGGCTATGGAACGAATTGGAAAATGTTCTTCAGCTCCTGTAGTTGCACCAATGTGAAAGTGATGAGCCAGAGGAGCTGCTGAGTGTCCTCAGGCTTTCTGAGTTCGTGGCCACTGCCACTGTCGAGTTTCTCTTTGTCCGTGGGGCCAGGGCCTGCCGAACTACCGCGGCATTCTGCTGCTGCTGGTGTGGCTGCTCCTTGTTTACATTTGGACGGTATTTTGCCCTTCTCGTTTTCACCTGATACAGTCACTGAGATCACGGAAGGAATCGCATCTGGAAAGGCGGAAAGGCAAAGAGAAAGATCAGAACACTGGAGGCCTGGGTTTGCGGGCTGGAGGAGGTTAGGGGCCGCAAACTGAAAGCTGCACAAAGATAATCGGCTGTCGCAGGAAAAGGTAGTTTGCCCGAGTACACTGGAGCACCTGTCACCATCCAGGCACTAACCATTAAGTTCTTCCCGGTCCTCGATTCCCCGGGTGCGATATCGGTGCCATCTTGGCTTCTCCTGGGCTGAAGGTTCAGTCCCCGCTGTCGATGAAACGATGAAACGGCGCGCCTCCGCAGACTCTGAGCTGCGACCTGCGGTAATCCTCGGTAGGGACAAGAAGTGCAACGCCTCTTGAGAAAAGTCCAAGTACTCCAAAATTTTAGCAATGACTCCACCACCTCAGAGTGCAAGTGTAGACCGCAGCCCAGTGCTTAGTACATCCAAGAATGTTAATGTTTACACTGCATGGGCTCTGGCCGCGACAGTGGCTCTGCTGTGCTCCACCTCGGGGCTTCTGGTTACAAGTACTCTACACAAGCTTAAGTGTTCCCTGTGTTGGGCTCCTGCTGTGGGCCTGGGCAAGTTTCCACCTTTTCCCTGCCTCCTCCTTCTTCCACATTTTCTCCCATTTTCTAGAAATAAAATCGTAATCTTGTGCTCAGAAATAAATAAAACTTTATTGTTAAATAAAAGAGGCAGGCCAAAATGAGGACTTTATGGTTCTCCCTTCAAGATGTGTTTTGCAGACGCTCCAGAAGATGTTAATATCCTGAGCATTGGAAATAGCTTCCAATAATAGGCCCTATGCTTGGTATCGTACTATGATATTGATCTATCCTCTTTTTCCCTTTGCAACTATCATTATCTTCAGCACCATTTTATGAAAGAAATTTTCATGGGCCGCTAAGGGTGTCTGTCATGGGGCTTAGGTACCTTACCTACTGTATCTAATGGATAAGTGCCCCTGCCTCATATTTCTGCAAGATGGCTAAGAAATCAGCTAAAAAAAAAAAAAAAAAAAAAAAAAAAAAAAGATGATTAAACAATTCACTTTCAAAAAGATGTCAAGGGATGGCAATCTCACAGCCGCTCTCTGACTTCAACCAAAATGTTGCCTCCTCCATCTGACTTTTGTTGGAGTCTGCACCCCTCTCCTTCTCTTGCCTAATCAGTTCATGATCAATTTTCAGCCTTGGATCAAATGCTGCATGAGAGACACGTAAGAGTTTTAATCATGGGGTGCAGTAGACTAGCTGGGACATCTGTGACAGCTCGACGTTCTTCCACATCTCAGATTTCCACAGTGTACCCCAGTGTTTTCTCACCTTCAGTCACTCATAGGCACCTTAGGTGAGTGTTGTTGCCCTATGTGGGCACCAGAAAAGCTAGTGTTTACTTAAATGTTTTATTTTAAATATAATTTAGTTTTTAATTTTTGATTCACTCTTGAAAACCTTAGGTACCCAATGGAACCCTCGTCCTAAGCAAAAATAGCCACAAATCATGGCCTGATGTAACAGATTTATGTGAGCAGCGACCCTAGAACCAGACTGGATATCTGAATCATGGCTTCACTCACCACCTGCTAGCTGGCTAATCTGGTGAGCAGTTTATTCTCATTTTGCCTTGGTTTAATAATTTTTTAAATGGAGATAATAGTCATCCCTAAATCATAGAGGTGTTTTGAGGATTATTTGAGGTGCTTAATTATACAATTTCGCAAATGACCAGACCATGTAGCCTCACATTTCCTACTTGACTCACTTTCATATTTTTTTATTCACAAGGGAAAGAGAGAGAGTGATTGTTATCCTCCGGGAGCATGTAATGAAGATAGAGCATCTTCTTGTGAAAACAATACATGTACCACGTTTCTATGTACGTATATGTGCTTCCGTCAGTAAGCCTATGTTGGCTGCTGCATGTATGAGCCCTGGGCCAGGAAATGTGCCAGAAGACTATGTCTTTCACTCAGCAGATCGATTTTCTTTCTTGGCCTAATATATTTTATTCTTAGATACCAGATAATGTAATAAACATTACCATGTATTAAGTACCTACTCTGGACCCAACCCAAGAACAAGCCTTATGAAAGTGATATAAGCAGGGGCACGATGGTGTAATTCACATTTTCATCATCAGATCACTCTGGCTGCTGGGTGGAGAATGTTTATAGGAGAAAAAAGGTGAAAGCAGGGAGACAGGACATTAATGCATTATCCCAGGTTTAAGACGACAGTGATTATCTTAGGCATGTCAGAGAAAAAAATTAACGGTTTGGGAATAGGTTTCTGAGGTGGGGTCAACAGGATTTGCTGATAAATTGACTATTTGGAGTTGAAGAAAAAGAATAAAACAGTCTATATGTAACCAAGTACCTCTTTTTTAAAGACTCAAATGAATTATTTTTTCCTTTTTCCTTTCCTCACACCTCCTACTTAGCTCTTTGGGAATGCCATTATAACCTTTACCTTCTCTCCACCAGACACTCCCCACACAGCAAGCTTATCTAACTACATGTTTACTTAGAAGTTACAGAGACTGAACCTTAAAGCAAACCAGGAACCTCCAGAACTCTCTCCTACCAGGAGGCAAATTGAGATTGTCTCAATTTACAACCTAGCTCTGCCCATGACGGTGCCAGCCAGACCACCTGATAGATAAGACATCCGAAGCAAGTCACACAGACTCCACACTCCATCGCCCTCTCCCCTGCATGTCGTTCATGCCAAGCCCCCCTTTCAAAGCTCCTGCCTTCTGCCCCAAAGGCTGTAGTGGCTTCCTTAAGGCAGCCTGTACTAATTCCCCTCAGCTAGCTCTGGAATAAAGCCACTTTCTTTTACCAGACGTCATTCTTGTTCATTGGACTTTGCAAGTGGCGAGCAGTCAGAGCTGTGTTCAGTTACACGTATGCTTTGCCTCATTGAACTCTCATGAAAACCCGATGATCGAGACACTGTTGTTATCTCCATTTTATAGGTGAAGAAGCTAAGAACCAGATAGATTCATCCAGTGTCCCAGGACACACAGTGAGTCATGCTTCGGATCTGTGCTCCTAGCTGATGCCTCCCATTACTGGTAGTCCTTTCCTGCTCCCTACAATGTACATTTCTTCATTTCTTTTTCAATTTTCTTATTATCTATTTTTCTTCTTCTTCCTCTCTCTTTTTCACTAGGGATAGAATGCAAGGATCTCACTTAGCCCAGTGGATGGCAGTCAATTAATGGGGCAAGTGGCTTAGTCCTGCCATACTGGTTCCCTGCATGCTGCCAAGTGCAAGGGCCTTTCCATGCTCAGAATCACCATGAAGACCAGAGCTCTCTCTCTTGGTAGGCTACAGACTCAACGGGTCTGAATCTTTATATATGCTGCCAAAAAACCCTCAAATAACCAATATTTGTAAATAGATACAGAAAGTTTTTAAAAGAACATTTAAAAATAATAAAAATTTTAAAAATATTTTTAAAAAACAAAATAAAGTATATACCATCACTTAACAGCACACACACAATCTCTAGAAAAATTAAGGATTCATGAGTTGTCCACCCTCAGAAAACGTCTCCATGCCCTTCCTCGTGACAGACTCTCTAGCATTTTCCTTTCTTTCATTTTCATTTTATTTCTTATTTTATTATTTATTTTAGAGAAAAGGGGCCTCTATCTGTTGCCCAGGCTGGAGTGCCACCACATGATTCTAGCTTACCGCAGCCTCAAACTCCTGGGTTCAAGTGATCCAACCATCTCAGCCTCCTGAATAGCTGGGACTAGTGTAGGAGCCACTGCACCAGGCTCTTCAGGGTTTTTCTTCGTGATTGGGCTTATTGGGGTGGGGTGGCCAAAACACAGGGGCAGTAGTAGGGAGGCTGTGTAGTTATGAGGCTCTGCGGAGCAGAAGTGGCTCCACATCCAGTAAGCTGCACATCCATAGATCCCAAATCTCCATCCCAAGAGTGGAGATTTTTGGCAGGTATGCCCTTACTAGGATTCTTCCTATACCATCCCCGATTTTTATGTATTTATTTATTTATTTATTGCTTGTCCTAATAGCACTCCATTTTGCCATGAGTACAGGTTTCTCTTGCACAGCCAAAGATATTCAGTCTCAGGCTAACAGATTCAGCCTCGTGTTTATTCTGTGTTGCCTTTCTCAAAGGGTGCATCGGATTTCTTACAGAGCACATCTTACCACCCAGAATGCTCTGCATGCCTATCTCCCGGATCCCAATCCCAGCACTGAAGAGAGCGTGGCAGCTCTGCTTTCAGTGCCTTTGCTGGAACTCTGAACAAGCAGCCCCCTAGCCAATCGTTTCAGCTTAATTACTAGCCCGTGACCCGTGTAGGCTGCCAAATATGGAGGGTCAGGCCATGAGATATTCTCCAAACTTGCTCAAGCAGTCCTATGGTCACTGTGAGATCTCACCTCCCCCTTGAGCCCCCAAATCAGCTTTCCTCGGGGTAATAACTAGGCCCGAGTAGGGTGTAGTCAGCTAAGCTGCAAGCTGGGGCCCCATGTTGCATACATATATGCCTCCTGTTGGCCCTTCTCCACACTGCCCCTATGTTTTGGCCACCCCATTCCACCCTCAACCGCCACCCCCACCCACGACCCATACCACACTCCTCACCCCACCCACAACCCCTACCCCCAACCAGCACCCCACCACTCACCACCTCCACCCACACCCCCACCCCACCACGTACCCCCACCGCACCCAACCCCACCCACAACCCCACCGCTCACTGTGCACCCCACCCTCCCCATACCCATCCCACTGCAACCCCCACCCTCATTTGTGCACACCCCACCCAGCTTCCCCACCCAACCACACCCCATCCCCACTCTCAACCCCACCCTCACCGTGCACACCCCACCCCCACTTGCACCCCTCCTCCCCCACCCACACCCCACCCCCACATCACACGTCTCCACTACCTACCTGCAACCCCACTTCTCACCCCCACTACCACGCCCCACCGTTCCATTCCCCACTCCTCTCCATTCCCTCTCTTGCTTGTGCGCATAAGCAAGTCCCCCGATTGCAACTGTAACCAATACCAAGCATGAGAACAGGAACCAGCTCCACCCTCTGACCCCCGCTCCAGCTGCAGACGCCACGGGGTTTGTGTAAGGGGCGCAGCACTCCAGCCATGGCACGTTCGCGCGTCCATGACACCAAGTTCTACTGCCTGAATGTATACCAGGTAAAAATAAGCTCCACACCTGAGCTGGGGGCAGCATCAAGGGTAGAAGGCCATGTTGGCCAAGGAGCTCCAGGCCTCATGGGTAATATGAACCCTGAGGGCGGCGTGAACCACGAGAATTACATGAACCGCTATGGCGGCATGATCCACGAGGGCGGCGGTGGAAACCAGGGGCCTAGGCAGCTGCAGCAGCCCCTGGAGGAGCCGGCCCAGGCGGCCATGGAGGATCCGCAGCCCGAGAACATGCAGCCACGAATTCGGCGCAAGAAGTTCACGCCGTTGCAGGTGCAGGAGCTGGAAAGTGTTTTCCAACGCACTCAATACCCTGATGTGCCCACAAGGTAAGTGTCCTGCACCAGGAGCCGCGAGATCCAAGTTCGTTTCGAGGCATCTTTTTCTCTTTTTCTCTCCCTTGCCCCACCCAGTCATGAGGAAAAAGCCACTGGGGGTCCTTGCCTGCCTTTGTGCTGGTGTGGAGGGGGATGTTCACCTCCTGGGCATCAAGGTAAATATTTTATTGCAAGGTTTATGTGAATGAAACCTGGAAACTAGTTCGTGCCTCCCTTTTTTAAAGATGTGGTAAAATACACAGACGTGAAATTTACCGTCTAAACCGCTTTTTAAGTACAGAGTTCAGTTGTGTTAAGTATGTTCACACTGTTGTGCAATAGAGCTCTAGAATTCTTCTCATGTTGCCAAGCTAAATCTCTATACCAGTTAAGCAACTCCCCTTTTCCGCCTTTCCCCAACCCCTGACAACCACCATTCTACTGTTTTATTTTATGTCTCTATTATTTTGACTACTCTAGGTACCTCATGTAAGTAGAATCATACAGTATTTGCATTTTTGTCATTGACTTATTTCACTTAGCATAAGGTCTTCAAGGTTCATCCATATTGCAGCATATAGTACAATTTCTTTCCTTTTTAAGGCTAAATAATATTCAATTTTGTAGATATAGGTGCATACACACCAACAGTACATGGGGGTTCCAGTTTCTCCACATCCTCACCAACACTTGTTATTTTCTGGGGTTTTTTACATAGCCATCCTAATGGGTGTGAGGTGATACTTCATTATAGTTTCGATTTGCATTTCCCTAATGATTGGTGATGTTGTGCATCCTTTCATGTGCTTAGTGGCCATTTGTATACCTTCTTTGGAGAAATGTCTCTTTAAGTCCTTTACCCATTTTAAAATCTGAGTGGCTTTTTCTTTTTTTCTTTTCTTTTTTTTCTTTTTTTGGTTATTGGGTTATAGGAGCTCTTTATATATTCTGGATATTAACCCCTTATCAGATGTGATTTGCAAATATTTCCTTCCATTCTATAAGTTGTGTTTTTACTCGGTTCATTGTACCTTTTGATATACAGAAGTTTTAAATTTGATATAGTCCAGTTTATCTATTTTTTCTTTTATTACCCGTGATGATGGCCTGTTTTTGTTTTTGTTGTTGTTGTTGTTGTTGTTTTTGAGTGGGGGATCTGTCACCCAAGCTGAACTCCTGGCCTCAAGCAATCCTCCCACCTCAGCCTCCTAAGTTGCTGGGATTGCAGGAGTGAGCCACCATACCCAACTCTGGTCTGTTTTTATAAATAAAATTTTGTTGAAATTGGGGTAAGGAGAATGAGGTACTGTCATGCAACTACAGTGCTAGATCCTTCCTTTATTTAAAATTTTGATAATTTGTTCTTCATAGTTTTTTTGTTGTTGTTGTTTGGTTGGTTGTTTTTTTTTTCTGTTTTTTTGTTTTGTTTTGTTTTGAGACAGAGTCTCTCTCTGTGGCCCAGGTTGGAGTGCAGCAGTGCCATTTCAGCTCTCTGCAGCCTTCGCTTCCTGGGTTCAAGCCATCCTCCCGTGTCAGCCTCCTGAGTAGCTGGGACTGCAGGCACAGGCCACCACACCTGGCTAATTTTTGTATTTTTTTGTGTAGAGATAAAGCTTCACCATGTTGCCCAGGCTGGTCTCAAACTTCTGGGCCCAAGCAGTCTGCCCACCTCGGCCTCCCAAACTGCTGGGATTACAGGCCTGAGCCACCGCGCCTGGCCCTCATCACAAATTTTTGCATTAATTGTTATTTGTTAAAATAGTGCATTAGGGCCAGGCACGGTGGCTCAGGCCTATAATCCCAGCACTTTTGGGAGGCCGACGTGGGAAGATTGCTTGAATCCAGGAGTTCAAGAACAGCCTGGGCAACATGGTGAAACCCCGTCTCTAAATAAAACTTTAAAAATTAGCTGGGTGGGTGTGGTGATGCGTGCCTGTACTCCCAGATACTTGGAAGACTGAGGCAGGAGGATCGTTCGAGCCCAGGACATGGAGGCTGTAGTGAACAGTGATCCTGCCACTGCACTCCAGCCTAGACGACAGTGAGACCCTGTCTCAAATAATAATAATAATAATAATAATAATGCATTAAAATTATTCATCTTGGCGGGGTGCCATGGTTCATGCCCCAAATCCCAGCACTTTGGGAGGCTGAGACAGGCGGATCACCTGAGGTCACGAGTTCGAGACCAGCCTGGTCAACATGACAAAACCCCATCTCTACTAAAAATACAAAAATCAACTGGGCGTGGTGGTATGTGCCTGTAATCGCAGCTACTCGAGAGGCCGAGGCACGAGAATCGCTTGAACCCTAGAGGCGGAGGTTGCAGTGAGCTGAAATCACGCCACAGAACTCCAGCCTAGGAGACAGAGTGAGACCTTGTCTCAATTTAAAAAAGAACAAAAAAAAATTTCTCTTGATTACTGAGTTGTTAACATCACCTTAAATTTTGTGATGAGGGTAAACCATTTCTAAAGCAACCATGGACCTGGGAATTAGAGAAAAGTATATGCTTGGGGGAGGTGTGAGGGGAGATTATAAATTGTAAAACAAGCATGAAGTATATAGTACATACTATATATTTCGTTCCATCCACAACCTTGAATACTAACCATGTGTGATTTTCTCTCCACAGAAGGGAACTTGCCGAAAACTTAGGTGTGACTGAAGACAAAGTGCGGGTCAGTACACTTGAAAAAGCAATTTGAGAGGGCAGCCATTCTAAAACCTGCTTCAGGGCATTGAAGGCTTTGTCCTGAACATTCTAAAGTTGTTGTTTTTATTATTGTCTTTTTTATGTTGGCAAATAAGTTTTGAAGTTTGGGTTCTTTGTCGGTAGAAAAGGGAGTAAGCTCCAGCTTATGGTTCTTTCCTCTTTCCTATTCCCATTAGGGAACATGATTTGACTAAAGGAAAAACAAAACAAAAAACTGCTTCTCCTAATCTGTGTACAAAATTAAACAAATACATACATAAGAAACACATATATGTGTTTTATATATACATATATATAATACATATATACATATATGTATGTATCCAATAAATAAAATTCGACTCCTTCTAACACTGGTATCTTTTAGGAGCAATTTCTATGTAGAGTCATGGTGGGGCTCAGTCTT